TTTTGGAGTTTAAACCACACCCTTCCCCCCCCCCCTCCTTTCCCACCCCCTTTCCTCCTTCTGCCTCCCCCGTGTGCACCACCACGCACTCCTCCTCTTCCTCCTCCTTCAGGCGCGTGCAGCTGTGCGTGTGCGTTCTCGCTGTCTGCCACGCGCATCATCATCATCATCATCGTCATCCTCCTCATCGTCATCGGCGGCAACAAAAGCGACCAAGACAAGAAGAGGAAGGACTCGCCGCGCGATCTCCGTGAGTCTTCTCGCTACCGGGACCGTCGTATGATGACCTTGTCACCGCATTCGCACACCCCTCATCCATCCTTCCATTCCTCCACTCTTCATCCCTGCTTCACGCGCGCGCGCTCGCGCGCGTCGAAACGTGGATATTCGGACGCGAGAACGCCCTTGTGCGCGGGCCTAATTGCCAAACGGCTTTGTGGTGCGACGTGTACGCGCGTGGGGGGGGGCTGCATGTGTGATACCAAAGCATCCAGACAGACGGCGATTTAAATGCCAACAAACAACGGCCACATTTGTTGTTACGTTGTGCCAATCCACTCGTGGCCCGTAGCCGCTAATCTGCCATTTAAAAGCTTTCCCCTAGTGATCCACGCCTTTGTGCGCGCGCACTGTGTGCGTGTGCGCGCGTGTGTGTGTGAGAGACATGTTTGTTTATCCAGGAGACAATGCATCATTTTGGAGATGTGGAGGTTGGGAAGGCTTATGGTTGCAACCCCGCCTCACTACCACATCTCTCACACACACACACACACACAAAGATACGTGGTAGAAGAGGGAGGGGAGGGTGTTACACACACACACACACACACACACACACACACACAGAGCTGAAAATGCATTTGTTTTTTATTACATGTTTTATTAATAGCCAATGCTGCATTACTGTCATGTGGTGGCAGGGGTGACATGATGACATGCTCCCTTTTGCATTTATGGAGCACTGGTTCACCACATTCTATTCATCTCTCACAGTTATGGTCGAGGTATGTAAAGCCCAACGCGGACTGTTGTGCTATCAAGCCCAAGAGCAGGTGTGTGTGTGTGTGTGTGTTTGTGTGTGGATGTGTGTGTTGCAGTGGTGCACAGTCGTTTGCACGATGCAGGTCGATAGAGTCCTGCAGGTACAGATGCCTGAACACAAGGGGGACCATATGGGGCTGGTGGGATCGTTTCGTCAGGCTGTTGTGTAATTGTCAAATCAAATGAAAGCACCGAGCGCGCGGACGAATGGGCCCTCGCGCCCTTGTTTTCGTGGCGAATCCGTCAAAGTAGTTGTAAAATGTTGACATTGTGCTCCGCCCACATGAGATGCCATAGTCAAAAAAAAGCTTTTGGCAATTCAGGGTTGTCCATACGATCGCCGCGTCAGATTGAATCTCATTTGGCCAAATTCCCTCGTGTAGGTTTTGGAATTTCCCCAATTACAGCATCAAACCAAACTGATGCCGGGCAAGGGCCCTTGACACTTTTTCGTAGGTTCTGTTACGATTAATGTGGCCACCAAATTTAATTTTCATCAGTGTATATGTGGAACACTGACTGTAACTACGTTGATCATCTTGACTTTGATATCTTTTGAAAATAACTGCCTCACCTCAATTCAGTGCTTCCCATTTCCCCCCTTGAAAAAAGGTTAATTGAAACTGTCGCTAAGAACAATGCTGACTGCACATATTGCATCTCCTGCTCCAATATCCTTTAAAAAAAAATAAAAATAAACACCTCATCTTCAATAAACAAGTCAAAAATCACCCCTCGGGACAAGCTTGTTGAAATTGTGTTCAGGACAATACTTAGTGTACAGCTCTGACATCTTTTTAAAAATGAACACCTCACCTCAAATAAACACCTCCTCCAGGAATATAAAATCGCCACTAGGGGGCTGTGCATACCTTGATACCTTAACTTTAACGTCATCTGATATCACCTTGTGTCTGGTCTGTACCACAACATAAACCACTTGCAGAGCAGGTGCGACATCTGTAAAGCTGATGTTTAAAATAATTTCCTGAGCCCAATACGAGGAAAATAACAAGCATGGCCAATTCCTAATTGAGGTGTGCCACCTGATTCGCGGCATCCATACGCACGCGCAAGCTTGCCCTTCTGTTCAGCGACGTACACAACCGGCGGCTTTGTGTGCGTCAGCCGATGCGAAGGATGAATGCCTTTCTGTTCTGCTGCACTGTGCCTTTCCAGCTGCGAGACAAAGTGGCACTCTGTGCCTCCTCCGGACACGGCAGAAATAGATCAGCTGACCGGCTACAATATGAGATGATGAAGTCTCGGGCACTGTACAGTGTACCATACACACGCACACACACACACACATAATCAAGATTATTATAGTCATTGAAAAGTAACAAAAGAGCCAAAAAACCAAAACTGAAATAACATTTTTGTTCACAAAATAAAATCAAAAACAAAAATGCTTTAAAAAAAAAAATCAAAACGCATTTAAATTTCAAAATAACATTTCTAAAACTGGTGCTTTGTCAATGGCTTAGATGAGCTTTCGGAGTTTGTTGTAAATGCTTTTATTTTGGTATTGCAGTACATTTTCTGCAGAAGAAAGAAAGATTGACAATTATAGTTCACTTTACTGTATTACACAATAACTAGTGAGCCTCTTTTTTAATGTTGCACTCGAAAAACACTCCCTATATTGAATGATAGGAAAAAAACTAAAACTAATGCTAAAACAAAGCATTTTCAATATTTTTTCCTACTAACAAAGTTGCTCTTAAAAAAACAAAAAAAAAACAAAAACTGAATCGAAAATAAAAACCACGCGCTCACACAGCCAAGCAAACGTGACTGCATGTGACACCTGACTCCAGGTGATGCCCTAGTTCCACAGTGACAGCAGGCAGGTGAGGTGGAACACTCCCCAGATAGCCTCGCATACACAGCTGCACGGTAAGAAGGCCTTTTTCTTTATACTCACACACACACACATGCAAAAAAACAACACATCAAGATTCCTAAAGTGTCTTTCTATCTTCTCCTTTCTGCGGTTATTCCTTATTTGTTTCATAATGTGTGTTTTATGCATCCGGGGGGGCTGTCGCCTTCCGTACACACTCCAGTGCTTCAATTATCCGCCGAGTGGAAAATCTCGTGTCATGCGATACGCGCCCACACGTTGCCCCAAAATATCGACGGCGACGTTCACTCCTCGGTCCATTTTTGACATGCAGGATGTTTGCGACGATTGGATAAGAAATTCGTGAGCACCCCCGTGGCCCCTAGACCGGAAGAGGGGAGGAGGGGGGAAGAATCAGAAAGAAAAATCCCCCCCCCCCATTGTTCTTGTGGTTTGCTCTTCTTTGAATGAAGCCACATGATACAGTTCGGATTCAATTGCCTGCTATTGCTAAGCTACTTTGGAAACCGTTATAAAAGGATGTGAGAGTGTTTGTTTGGGGGGGGATTGGGGGGTTGTTGTTGTTTTTTTTTTTTTTTTTCTGGCTTCTCAATGTTGCAGAGTTGCACCTGTCGCGGCTGGATCAACGCGTGTTAGACTGTTAGTTAGACTGTACAGCAATTGCTGGTGGTGTTATTATTATCATTATTAATATTATCCATCCATTTTCCGTTCCGCTTATCCTCACAAGGGTCGGGGTGGCGGGGTGCTGGAGCCTATCCCGGCCGCCTTCGGGCAGTAGGCGGGGGACACCCTGAACCGGTTGCCAGCCAATCGCTGGGCACACAGAGATAAATGACCATTTGTCACTGTGAGGTTGACGCGCTAACCAGTGGCCCACTGGGCTGCTATTATTATTATTATTATTATTATTATTATTAATTTTGCTTCAGTTGCCTCCCCCGCCCCCCCTTTCCCTTCCATGCCACCCACCATGCCACCGCCATGTTCCACGTGAGCCGCGATACTAACAAAAGCAAACTTGCTGTTTTTGTGTCTCTTGTGACCGTTTCCTTCCTCCCCCCCAAAGCCGCCTCCCGTCGCAGAAGCCTCCGAGGCATTCGTGGGCCTCAAAAGTTTGCAAACGAGCCCGTCCATGTTCCCTAAGGTTTTACTGCAGTGGTGCGCGGCGCTGTCGAGCTGCGCGGCTCAAATAGGTAAAATCGTGATGACTGTCTGGCACCAAAAACAACAAAAAAAAGCGCCACACTGCTCGTTTGCTGCTGGCTGTTGCCGCCGGGAGCTGCCAGGCGGGCACGCTTTTGCGACGCTTCGCAACACTTGACGACGCTTTTGCGTGAGGCACGCATGGCGGCTCGCCGCGCTTTCTCCCATCTCATCACCAGCCAGCGATTTGCCACCTGAGGGGCCTTTCTTTCTTTTTTTTATTTTATTTTTTTTAAGAACCATTGGGATGGAAGACAAGCTGTCGTGTCACCTCCCATGCATCTGGAAAGTGCTTCTGCTTCACTTTGTTGCATTTTTCGTTGAGGTTCGTGACAGCTTTATTCCAGTTTGGAAATGCGGTGTTTCCCCGACTATATTGTTTTGTTTTGTTTTCCCCCAAGCAATCTTTTTTTTTTTTTTAAGGTTTTTATGATGTAGTGAACCCCTGTTTATCACCAGGGTGCATTCCTGACCCAAAATGAAGATCCGCGATCTCGAGCGACCATATAAAAAGCATTTCAGATGATGAAAACACACTTATGAAAACAAAAGTTTGTGTTCTCTCTTTTCCCTTCCACAAATCCTTGTTTCCTTCCTTCTTTTGTCTTTATTTCTCCCACTCCTTCTTACCTCCTCCTTTTCATCCCTTCTCTTCCCTTCCTTCCGGGCATCTTTCCAACATTCCTTCCCTCCTTCCTTTCTTTGTTACATCCTTGTTACCTGCATTCCTTCCATCCTTCTTTCCTTTCAAACAATCCTGACATCCTTCCTTCCATCCCACCTTCCCTCCTTCCTTTATTCTTCCCCTCCTTCTTTACTTCCTTCCTTCCTTCTTCCCGCATCCAACCTTCCTTCATTTCTTGTTTCATGCCATGCTTGTTTCCTTTTTTCCCCGCGCACCTTCCTTCCTTCCTTTCTCATTTCCTTCCTTCCATCCAACCTTCCTTCATCCTTTCCTTATTTCCTTTCATCCATCCTCATTTCCTTGCCACCTCGCTTTTGCCTCATGCCACTCTTCCTCCCTTCCTTCCATATAGTGATAGTCCATAACATTGTATATCCAAAAAAAAACACGCCTTACACCCGTCTGCAGTTAAGTAAATTCCCACGCTTCCTTCGTCTCGCCGCAGCCGAGGTGTGCTGCGGAGCGACCATGGCGACGGGCACCACGGAAACCGAGCCTGGTATGCTTTTAGAGCAATCCAAAGGCACAGGTAAAAAAAAGGACCCAAAACCTCTTAAAGAGACAGCGTTTATTTTCTTTTCCGTGCCGTTGTCTCTTTAACCGCTGCATGGTGTGTTTTGAATTGATGCAAACGCTGGACATTTTTTTGCTGCTTTGTGGTGGAGGTCGAGACTTCGGTAGAAACGAAAGCCCTCTGCTGGTTTCCCGCCAGCCTCCCTCGGGCTCGCTTAGACCCCACCTGATTGGCCGAGTCGGATGTCCATCCGGCGTGAGGAACCAGCAGGAGGCTCGGGGGGGTTTTTTTTGCACAGTGAGCAAGCAAGCACGCGGTATTAGTGGCTGGTCCTTTCTCATTTCATGCATGAGTGTGTGAGCGGGCCCTGGGCGGTGCATTAAGGTCTTTGTTTCGTTGGCCAGAGCGAAAGAGAAAGAGAGAGGGAGGCAGAAGTATGAAGAGGTATCATACTTATGCATCTTGTGCCACCGTATGTTTTTGTTGTTGTCATTAATCAGTGTTTTCTTTGTGGGATTAGGTTGTCAGTCGTGTCCCAACTCCCAGCTTGGGTGTCCCACCTGAAGACGAAAGTGCCCAACTTGGCTCACTGAGGCGTGCCACCCCCCAAACTACCGTTGAAACTGCTGGGTTAAAAGTACTGTGACCCAAATTGGGTGAAGTAGCTCACCTGGTCCTGGGGGCAACAGGAACTGAGCTCCATTTGTTTGAGGATTGGATTTTGATCCAACAATTAGTGCAAACTAACCATACTGCAGAGTTAACAAGAAATTGGTTACTAGTTTAGTGTTGCCGTGGTGAAAAATAATACAAATGTCATCAGCGATATTTATAAGAAGAAGAAGAAGAAGCAACTTCCCTCTGTCAGGGTCACCATCGCAAATCACTCACAAGATGCGTTTGGCACAGTTTGGACACCTGACGCCCTTCCTGACACAACCCACCCAGTTTTATCCAAGCTTGAGAAGCGGCAGCGGCTGGGAATTGTCATGTGGCCTGAAGGGTCCACCAACATTTTCTTAGAATGTTACATTCAATTGACTTCAACTCCCACTCCACAATACAAAACTGCATGCGTCCAAAATGGCGGTCAGCTCTTTAGCTCTTCAAATCCAATCATCAACCAAGTCTGCCTGGCTCAAAATAATGAACCCAACCTTGCGTCAAAGTCTTGCAAATGTATAAGAAAGAAAATCATCTCCTGTCCCGTAGAACCGTTTTACATTAAACATGCATTAACGCTTTCAGCCACCAATAATGATCACCTGTCATCTGATAACGTGATAAACTGTCCACTGTAGTGACCGCTGTCCCCCAAAGGGTTAAAAATACTTTGATACACCCAACAAAAATACTCTTTTGTCGTGAAACTGTGTTGACTGCCATTTAAAACTACCGCAGCGAGGATTTATATCCACGCCAGCGTAAGCAGAACTTGCGCTGCGGCTTGAATAGGAGAAGCGCTTGTTAGGTCACAGCGGCTGCTGAAACCACCGCCGTGCAACCGCAACGTCCGCCACGTGTCTGACCAGACGCCGCAAGGGTGACAAGGAGCCGGTCGCTGAACAATCTCGTTTCATGAGCACAGAACGGGTCAATGTCGGCCTTAACGATGCCAAAATGACACCAGTGGGCTGCGCAACCGCAACGTCCGCCACGTGTCTGACCAGACGCTGCAAGGGTGACAAGGAGCCGGTCGCTTAACAATCTCGTTTCATGAGCACAGAACGGGTCAATTAACGATGCCAAAATGACACCAGTGGGCTGCTCTGACCCCCCCACACATATTCACTGCCTCACAGATTGCTACCAAGAAACTATTGTATTCACTTATTCATGAATCCGTTCGACCCCGTGACATAGCAGGTTGGTTAAAGATGCTGCCGCTCCATAATGGCGTGCGCCTCACTGTTTACAACGGCCAGAATGCTCCGTAATATACCAGTAAGACTGGTTTATGATGAATTTGTGCAGAAATAATGTTAAATAGAGTACAGTGGTACCTCTACTAACAAACGTCTCTTCAGACGAAATTTTCAAGTTACGAAACGCCTCAAAAGGAAATTATTGGCCCTTGTTACGAAAGAAATTTAAAGATACGAAAGATAAAAAAAAAACAGTATGGGCCGCTACTCGCAGCTCCGAGTTTCCTGAACGGAACATACTTCTAGCTGCTCTGCCATTGGCTACTACCGAGCATCATCATGGCCTCCCATTGGCTAAGAGGGACCGCTACCATAAGTGTGTATGTCTGTCGATAGATTGAAATGTGTCGATGCAGCATACTCGTCACTCGCCTAGGAGGTGTTCCGATAGTTTTACATCAATGTGAGTCACCCAGAAAAAGTGTTCAGCAGTCTGGCGATCGCTCACTGTGCTGAAGTTTTCCCCTGGACATTTTTGAAGGATTGTTAACTTCGAAAATTAAAAGCCGACAAAGGCAAAACATCCTTGGATCAGTTCTTTACAAAACGCCAGGCAAAAAACACTTCTGAGAGAGAACATGAACTAAAAAGAGGGCAAAAAAAAAAACAAGCAGGATGCAGTTGAACGTTTAAATGACCATCATTTTAATTCTTTACTCTCTTCTTTTTATTTTTTACATTATGCACCATTCTTTTATTGTGCAATAATCTAATTGTAACAAGCATTTTTATGCTTTAGAAAACATTTATGTTTGAATTTTGGGCAAGCTTGGAACGGATTAGGGCATTTACATGCAAAATGCGTCTCGACTTACAACATTTTCTAGTTTAGAAATTTCTCACCGAAACACTTAATTTTGTAAGTAGAGTTACCACTGTACTGACTTTCTAACCCGAAGAAGGAAATGCTGTACACTGGAGCGCTATCAAAGGCGTCCATAAAATGATGATTTCATGACTTATTAACGTATTTTATGGTTGCGGCATCAGCTTTCCTCTCAAATGACGGTGATATGAGGATGTCATGAAGCCATAAGGGAAGTGCCACTGGTTTAGCAGGAGATTTGAGTCGTGCTATTCACTGCTTTGCTCGCCTTTTTTCTCTGCATGTTTTTTTTTTCCCCCAACCTTGCCTTCTATTCCCTAACAGGAGTCAACTCGCTCTCTCTCTCTGTTGTCTTTTCATATCATTCGTTTGTCAGTCATTCAAAGCCAAATGTTCCCCCCCCACCCCGCCTCCCTCGCTCATTATCTGGCTGGAGATCTAAAAAAAAAAATGATTGTGCTGTATGGTTATCACGTGGCATTTTTTTTTCTCTTTTCCGCCTACAGAGAAGCAAAGGCGACAGGGCAAGTTCCAGCCCTTCAGACGCCTCTTTGGGAAGAAAAAGCAGAAGAGGGAGACCCAGGGGGGCTTTTATGGGGCACAGCTGAAGGCCAGTTTCTCCACCGGGGAGGTGTGCCATGGAGTTGTGTCCGACGACGAGAACGCCAATCAAAGTCTAAGGTACGCAGTGCCCGTAGATCATTTCCTGAAAATTGAAAGTGTTGATGGCTCATTAACAAGGTTCCTTTTTTGCAACCGGTCAGCGATAAGGATGAAAAGGCTTCAGGGAATCATGCGAAAATGTCATAGCGTTCGTGAGAACATGTTTTTAATTTTCTCGTACAGTATATATATGTTCATGCGTCAACCAACATCTATTTGAAATTAAAAACCGAGCGCAGACTGTTAAGACAACGGTATGGTCCCTCTGTCCGCAGGGAGCTGAATCCCGTCGGATCTCGAGCCCTCTCGCACGACAGCGTCTTCATCCCGGAGGAGTCGGCCAAGCAGGCCGGCCTGGATCACGCCATGTCCCAGGAAAACGTCTCGGACAAAGTCAAAAATCTGCAGGTAAGGCGTCCAAGCGCAGAATGTTGAGGGGTACAAATTTCCAGACTCACCTCCGGGCAATGGCAAAGAGAAGTAAATGTTGTTCAGGGTTCTGGATGATGAGTTTTTTTGGGGAGGATGGGGGCTTCCAGTGGTGCTGTTTTGGAATGCCAAAACCAATGGGCTCCAAGCCCCCAGCAGTCCTCGGTTTCCGTTACCACCTTAATTACTGACTTGGATTGTTTCCCGACAAATATTTTCTGTAATTATGACCGCTACACGGTTAGCGTACCATTGTGATGGACTACTTCAGGTGATATCATCACCATTGGAATGGTGTAAACCAAGTACTTTACATCCCTTGTGCAGTGGGCCACGAATTGCAAAAATCTGCGAGTGATTCACTCGCACCCAAAATGGTTTGTAATTGCCGATTGATGCCACTAAATACTTTTTTTCTATTAGACAAGGCTTTGGCCTGACAAAATGAGTTCCTCCCCTCGCCCCAACGCACTTCCTTGGCACCAGAATGCCACAAGAATGCATCAAAGCAATATTTTGATATTAGACATGGCTTTGGCCTGAGCAGAAAACACCCTGTCCTCCATTTCTCTTCACGCCATACTCGAAACGCTTCCCTGTTGAACGCACAGAAGCAGATCGCGCAGACGATCAAGTTTGGCCAGAGGCTTCCTTCTCTGAGAAGAAGCGAAGGGGATGAGGGAAGCTCCGATGAGGAGGAGGCTCCGCAGAGTCCGCTGAGGGTGACGGCGCAGGTCGAAACAGAGCCCGCAAAAGCCGAGCCGACGGTAATGCCGACGACGCTTCAGTTTCACCCCCCAGCTGGGTCACGGAGTTGTACATTTATTTTGGATTCATCTTTTGTCCAGGTTCAAGCGGTCTCGCAAGCGAGATCGCACCACGGCACCCCTGTCAAGTCCCCCAGGTCCAAAAGAGTCCTCCCGCCCGGCGGTACCATCGAGTCGGTCAACCTGGACGCCGTTCCTCAGTCCGCATTTCTTCTGGACAACACCGCAGCCAAGCATAAACTGTCTGTCAAACCCAAGAATCAGAGGGTTTCACGCAAGCACCGGCGCTTCTCGCAGGTGAGGAAACCTCATTTCACACGAAGGGTTCTCAAACTTTTTGACCCATGGATTCCATACCAGGGAAAGTTTTTCCGAGGCCCCAGTCAGAACCACGATTGTGTACCCTTCAATCCCAGACGAAAACTAACAATACTTAACGCATCCCTAGGACCTCCAGGAAGTAGCCATCCCCGGTGTGGCGCAGGATGACCCGGGAGTGGCGGGCGTCTCGGCGGAGCACCGCCGCAGATCATCCACGGAAGAATCTCTGAAAGCCTTCAAGAAACACCGAGTCGAAGAGGAACGATTTGAAGCCAAGAGGAAGAGGGAACTGGACGAAGAGGAGAGAAGACAAAGAGCAGAGCAACTGAGGATTGAAGAAGAAGAAGAACGGTCTCGTAAGCAGCGCGAGGAGAAGGAAGAAGAAGAGAGGAGGCTCCGCAGGGAGCTGGAGGAAGAGGAGAGAAAGCAGCGAGCAGACCAACTGAGGATTGAAGAAGAAGAAGAAGAACGGTGTCGTAAGCGGCGCGAGGAGAGGGAAGAAGAAGTGAGGAGGCTCCGCGAGGACGAGGAGAGAAGGATGAGGAACGAAGAGGAGAGGAGGCAGCGTAAGGAGGAGGAGGCGAGGCGGCTGAGGGCGGAGCAAAGAAGGAAGGAGGAAAAAGAGGCGAGGAGGCAGCAGGAGCTCGAGGCTCAGCGACTACATTCGGAGGAAGAGGAAAGCAAGAAGAGGAAGAAGGAAACCGAGAAGCAGAGGTTGCGACACATCGAAGAGAAACGCAAAGCGGAGTCTGAAGAACAGCGGAACAAAATGGCGGAAGATGACGCAGACGGATGCTCGGATCCTCAACAGAGGAAGAGGAGAGCCGAGGAGCAGCGCTGGAAAGAGATGGAGCAGCGGCAGCGGCCTTTCTCCTTCCAAGTTTCTTCCGGAGAAAAAGAAATCCTCTTCCCGAAGGTTAACCTGACGCCTGTTACGGGAACCTCTGCGACTGTCGTTCCGAGAGAAGGCACAAAGTCCCCTTCTGGAGTACCGGACTCCCCCAACCGGCAGACTTCTCCATACGTGCCCCACACCGCCATCCTGGTGACCGGCGCGCAGTTGTGCGGCACCGCCGTCAATCTGGACCAGATCAGGGACACCGCCTGCAAGTCCCTCCTTGGTCTCGGTGAGGACCGGAAAGCGCAGGGAACGCCATCATCCGCCAAGACCAAGACGTCGCCGGATCGCAAGTCGTCAAAGGCAAAATCCCTCACTGAGTCCACCGAGGCGGAGCCGGCTGGTGCAGCCGTCCTGGCTGAGTGGGCCACCATCAGGTCCAAGATATTCAAGGGGGTCGAGGAGGGCAGCGAGTACCCAGACCCGAGCAAGGGTCAACCTCCAGCCAGCCACGAAGACCACCACGAGTTTGCCCACACGCACTTGAGGAAGACCGTGTCCGCCAGCACCAAGTTCTCCATCACGCCCGCCAAGAAAAAATTTGGAGATTCAAAAAGGAATTCCGAGTGCTCCAATTCCAGCGTATCAGACGAGAAAACGGGAGAGGATGCCGCGTCGTCTGACGCGTCCGCTTCCGCCTCGCCGGATGCCATCCGAAAAGCTCAGAACAGGACGAATAAGTGTCTCCGCATTCCAGAAAGAGTGGCGGACGAGTGCGTCTTCGCCAAAGACCTCCCGTCTTTCCTCGTTCCCAGCCCCGGAGCCAAGCCTGAACGGCCTGAGTGGAAGGCTCGGGATCGTAGCGGCTCGGCAGAGCCCGAAAGCACGGTGGAGGATGAGGAACCGAGTTTGGACGGCGATGAGGCGCCTTCGCCGTTTGGCATCAAGCTGAGGAGGACCAACTACTCACTGCGGTTCCACAGTGAGCAGTCCACGGAGAAACGGAAGAAGCGCTACAGCGCCGGAGACAGCTTCGACGGTGTCCCCTCGCCCCTGACCCCCATCGAGCCGGACTCGGACGCCTCGCCGGTCTTTTCCGACCGATCCAGTCCAGTGTCACCTCAGAGAGAAGTCAAGTACTCCCTCGCCTCAGCCTCCCCTGTGATTCCGCGAGCCGGCTTGGGCAAATCGCCGAGCCCCACGCTGCAATGCGACGGGGACCACATGCCCTCCAAGCCGTCGCTCTACCGCAGACCCCAAGCCTCACCCAAACCCGCCGATGGAGTTCCCACCCCTCCTCCGTCGCCGCTGCCTAAAGCGAGCCACGGTGAGACCGAGGACTCGGCCGGCCAGAGTCATCCCACGGCGGTTGGCCACCCGCAACGGGGCAACCAAAGCCAAGGTGAAGAGGAGCCCAAGGAGAAAAGATCTTTCTTCCCGTCCATCAACATTCCCTGGAGGGAGAAAGTGGACAGGAAGACGGAGCTCATCAAGAGAGGTCAGAGTCACCTAGTCCACATCGGTCTTGTAAATGTATGGCTTACAGAGGGGCTGCTTGATCAATGGCAAATTGCTTAGACGCGGCTGTTTTCCTTTGCCGCCCCCCCCTGCAGAGAAACCGTCGCTTCAGAGCAGGCACTCCCTGGACGGCGCCAGGGTCCAGGATAAGGAGGCGGGCCCCCTGTGGATCACGCTGGCGTTGCAGAAGCAGAAAGGATTCCGGGAACAGCAGCAAAACCGCGAGGAACGTCGCAGCCAACGGGAAGCCAAGCTGGCCGAGAAGCAAGCTCGGGAGCGAGACAGTGTGAGTTGAGTCCGTGGACTGGACTCTGTGGGAGTGTATATCATAATAAGAAACGTTCAATCCTCATCTTTCCACACGTCGGTCCGCAGGTGGGCTTAGTGATGACAATTAGCTCCACCGAGAGCCGAGGAGGAAGTGGCAGCGTTGGTACGAGTTCGAAAGCTCAGACGCCGGATGAGCTCAAGAGACCGGATAGCCTGCGTGGACGGTTCGAGAGGCGAGAGCAGCTGAAGAAAGCCAACACGCTGCCCAGCTCTGTCACTGGTGGGCACAGCTAGCAAAACTTCTCACATGCTGTACTGAAGAAGAAGTGCAAATTCTTGTGTGACTTGTAAAGTTGCACTGATTCAAAGTTTTCAGCAATTTTTTTCAACCTAAACAGTACCGATACTCAAAGTCATATACGTATTCTTCTCCCTCTACGAGCAGCTGAGACTTACATTATGTGCTGTACAGATGGCCATGTACAATACATCGGTCTTTCAGTCCTATAGCGCCCCCAGGTGGCCAAGGCCGGTTAGCATCAAAATGGCCATTCTGTACAATACAAAACACTCTGATTTATGTAGCGCTTTCACAACAGCACACAAATATAGATTCAAAGAGTAACAAAAACTGTTTAATTTTTTTTTTTGGTGTGTGTGTGTGTCATTGCTGCCGCTTTTTTAAGTACAATATTTTCGAGCGGTATTTGTCTTTGTTTAAATTAGTTTTAGCAAGCGGATGCTACTGCTCACGTGACTATAAGCACGACGACAACAACAGCTGGTGGTATCGCAACTTCGACCTCTTAATTGTACATTGTCTTATTTTACACCAGTTAAGTAGCAACTTTTTTTTGTTTTTTAGTTAAGTAGCAACTTGGATGAAAAGTTTCCAATTTTGTTTTTTTTTTTTTGCCAGTGGAAATCGCCGACTCCACGCCGTCGCCCCCTGCTGTCAAGGAGGTTTCCAAGCGCTTCCCGGCTATGGACTCAGCGCAGGTGTCCACCGAGCCCGCCTGGCTGGCGCTGGCCAAGCGAAAGGCCAAAGCCTGGAGTGACTGTCCTCAAATCATCAAGTAACAACCCCACCAACAACCACTTCATCAACCCTCCAATTTATGATATTAGTGGTCCCCAACGAGCGGGCTGTGAACCGGAACCGCTCCGTAGCATTTTTGGCACCCCCCCCCCAAAAAAAAATCAAATTTCATTGATCGTCCGTGTCGGAAAACAGTTTTGCTTTAAATATATCTTATATGCTTTAAAAAAGTTAGCCCACAAGCGAGCAAAAATGAAGAAGGGGGAAAAAAGTAATTTGAGAACTTCGGAAATATGAAACCGGCAAATGATAAAGAAGCTTCCAAAAAAAAAAAAAAATCAGCAGTCCTACTTCAAATCCGTTTGTTGAGTTTAGTGTTAAATCACTGAATTTCTTGCTTTAATTTCCAACACTTTATCTGCGATGACGAAAACATAATTACGTAGAAGACATGGACATAAGTACGGAAAGACATTTTGTGCTCATGAAGAGAAACAAGCGCAGGGCTCAGCGCTAAATACAACTCCATTCAGCATTGTAGCAAAGTGGTGAGTTGTATTTTTAATACAATAGTACTTTCACTTACAAGTTTTACGCGTTATCAGTCATCGCTTGATCGATTTGTTTGCTATATAACGAATTCAACTTGTAATTCAAGGCACTATTTTAATTTGTTCGTCCCTCAAATTGAGCGTCTCCGGTCCGCAACGCAAGAAAAAGAAAAAAAAAACGTTTGGGGGCCCCTCCACTCCACTCCGCAACACACGAATACCAGCTCTGCATGGAGACACCGCACTACTCCACGACGACTCCCCTCACACTTGACTGCATTCAAATATCCAAATATAATATGGAATGGTTGCTAGCATGCGGCTAACACACAAATCCACGTTTTAATTTTTATTGTAGCCAATCACCGGGATTGTAAATACTCAGCGGCTTCCAATGAGGAGGTGAAGCTCGCCGGTGTGAAGGTGGGAGCGAGTCACGAAGGGTCTCTTATAAAGGGCTAGCAGTGTTATTTCACACACACAGTCTGTGATGGCCTGGTGGGGTATTGTGGGGGTTACCCCGCCCAGCCCCCCCACACACACTTCCGGTCACTTCCTGCTTGCTGTACAATGTAGATCAGCGGTAGGCAAAGTAAGGCACTCGGGCCATGTTCTTTTAAACTGGGCTACTGTATTTATTTCTTTTATTTAATCTTGTTAAGAGTCTTGTAATATGTGTAGCATTCATTGAGCCGTTTTCCCATTATCATTGGTTAATGAAATAAATTTTTTAATTTTTTTTTTTAACCTCATCTGCAAATTTACTGGACTATCTTCCGCATTAAATAATTTGCTAATGATTTTTTTAAAAAATAAATGTAAAAAAATGTTTTAATTGGCAAATTCATTCTTCAAGACATAATACAATAAAAAAATTAACCTAATTTACAAATGAACTGGACCATATTTATCATTAAATAATTTGCAAATTATTTTTTGTAAAAAATAAAAAAATGTTGGTTAGTACATAAACCATCTATTTACCAGTATTTTATTCAATAATTAGTTGATTGTGATGATAATGATAATACATTCAAAAATATAACATTTTCAGACAATACAGAAACCAAGATGAAAACATTAACGCTTTGCCATATTTTAGATTTTTTTTTTTTGGAAATCTCGAATGGCCTGTTTACAAAATCAGTCTTAATCCCTCCGTTTGGAAAAATATGGCCCTTGAGTCAAAGGTTTGCCCATCTCTGATGTAGATCCTGTTTGTAGGCCATCAGCAGCAGCAGCATCATCATCATCATCTTCATCATCATCACTTCCTCCTCCTCCTCCTCGTCCTGGGTCAATGTTCTTCCTGCCGTAACCATGTGCAACATATGTACTGTAAGTAAGACAGAGCCTTCTGTTTCTAACCTTGCTGGTGTACGCAGTGTTATGTGTTAAAAAAAAAAAAGTTTGGTATTATTTGCACTTTTTGGGGAGGGTCCCACAAAAACTTATGAAGGGAATTGTTAAATGAAAAAAAAAAACTGTTATGAAGAATTTAAATAAATATGTCCCAACTGACTGGCTGCTTGTTGTTGCTACTTTGAAAATGTTGATACTGTACATGAACGGATAATGAAATAGATTTAAAAATATATTTTTAAAAACTGCACAAATGATGGCTAAATGCCAATTTGTAAACAATACACATAATCATTCCGACACCCGACCACCAAGGAGCGCTGGCACACCACCGGGGAAGAGAAAAGCTCCCCGGGAAGCGTCCGCGAGCACAACGCCAGTCCGTTGCGAGCGTCCAGGACATAGACGGTGCCGTCGGTGGAGGCCACGCCCACCAGCTCCCCTCGCATCCCGCTGTCAAAGGCGCAGGGGCTGGCGAACACTTTGCCCGCCGTCTGGAACGTCCAAAGCAAGGAGCCGTCGGCGGCATTCAAGCAGTACAGGCGGCCGTCGTGAGAGCCGCACAGGAGCCTCGCGAGGTCCGAGGTGGCGCACGGAGACGAGAAGACGGCGCCGTCTGTCCGGAACTGCCAAACCTGTTGGGACAAATACAATTTTCTGCCACGTGGAAACCAGTCTGAATGAAATGATAAACCCACTAAATTTTTAGCCTCGCAGATGCTAATTTTAACAGCATGGCTAATTTCCGCACCAATGTGCCGTCGTGGCTGAAGCAGAGGATATTTCTGTCCACTGAGCCGATAGCCACGCGGCCGCCGTCACCGCCGCACTTTGGTGAGGAGAAGAAGGGGACGTCCCTGCTGTGTGACCACAGGACCTCTCCGCTGTCCTGGTGCCACAAAACAACACAGAGCGTCACATTGGTGGACCGATGCAATTCTAAAAACGAGGTCGTTTGAAAACGTACTGGGTGCAGACACAGCAGCTTGCCACCGAGTGTGGCCACGTACAGTTGGCGGCGGGCGGCGTCAAGGTAGGGCGAGGAGAATATGGCCCCGCCCCCACAGTGACGCCTCCAAACGCAGCGCTGAGCCTGAAATAAAAATGGACGCAGTGGCTCCTTGAATTTTTCCAGTTCTGAGCCATCGCTTGGTTGTTTTTTTTTCCAACTGTGCCCTATTTGTTACCCTTCCTTTGGTCACATGACCCCAACTCACCTGGAGGTCCAAGGCATACACAAAACCATCGTGCGAGCCCACCATCATCCGGCCCGTGAGGGGGTCTGCGGCGGGGCGGCTCTTCACGGCGTCGCCGGTCTCAAAGACCCAGCGCGTCTCGCCAGAGTCGGCGCTCAGCACGTACACGTTGCCGTCGTAGCAACCTGAGGAGCGCCAACGATTCGTCACGGCGAATGTCAAGGAGCGTTGGTGAAAAAGATGAAAACCGACCTACGACCACATAGCGTCCGCATGGGGACACGCCGGCTGACGCCTCCACGCGTCCCCCGAGGACTCGCTCCCACAGCAGATGCCCGCTGTCCAGATCCAGAGCCTGCATCCTGTGCGAGTGCGAGCCGATGAACACCGCGGTTCGGATGCTGTCTTGCCCTTCCCGGACCAGAAGCGTCGGCGAGGCGTCCACGCATCTGCCCGTGTCCGAGGACCAGCGCTCGTTGAGGACCAACACACTTCTGCCCTCGCTCCGCATCTCTGTCATCTCACTCTCTCCTTTGAACACTTTTAAAGGCCAGCTCCTTTCGCCTTCCTCTGAAGTCGCTTCCGCCGCGATGCGTTCTCGTTTTCCCGGCACGACGACGAGGCGCAGGACATCGGCGAAAGTCCCGTCGAGGACCGCCTCCAAAATCCGAGGCGAGCCGACTCCGGTGGCGGCCAGGATGTCCTCGCAGAGTCGAAGCGCCTGCAGGGAGTCCCCGCCACCGAACAGGAATCGGGAGCCGTCATCCAACTTTGCGTTCCCATCGAGACCGAGGGCGTCCTGTTGACAGGTCCGAAGTCATCTGAATGTTTCTCATGTCTATTTGTGGTTTTCAGCAGGAAACCTGTCATACAGTGAAACTCCTCTAAAACGAAACCTACATGGGCGAAAATACCCCCTAGTGTGAAAAAATGTTCGTGCATGAAAGCCATTCCCACTTTTCTGCTCCCCTTACAACGAAAAGTCCCCGTTTCGTGATACGAAATCTTTTTCTCTGCTCTTGCCTCACAACGAGATTCGCTACAACAAAAAATGTACGTTTTTGTTTGTGTTTACGTCTGAGATCAAATTTGCTCCAGTGAAAAGTCCCCTGTTGTGAAAATTTTCTTGCTGCAAACATGATTTTGTTGTAGAGGAGTTTCACTGTACCTGCCATAACGTTTGCAGCATTTCCTTGATTTCGCCGACGTCTTTATGTGGCCGACTGACGTCCGTGCGTTGCCCCTGGTATATTTTCACCAATGCTCGGATGTCCACTTTGCCTGCACACAAGAGGCCATGAACATTCCATCCATCCCTAATCAATCCATTTTTTTTTTTTTGGTCTCTGCTCACCATGAGGCGTCAGAGGTAAGGACGGGACGTGCACCACCGTGTCCGGAATGGCGTAGGAGGGCAACAGCGGAGTCAGCTGCTTCTGGAGGTGCCTGCTGAGCTCGGAAGAGAAGGGTGACCCGGCGTCTTCGGAACCCCCGGATGCGGCGAGGACGACAAAGGCGAGCAGTCGGGAGTCGTCGTGCAGACACACGGCGCAGGACTCCACCTCAGGCAGATTTGACAGCATCTGAAATTAGAGTAATTGATAATCTAATCAAAATGCAGCTCTAGAAAATGAACATTTTCAACACTCAATATCCACTAGAATGAATTAATTTTGTAAAATGCATAGGGGGGAAAAAAATGACCATAAATTATTTTAAAATACGTTTCAATTTAATCATATTTTCACCCTTGAAAATGTGTTAAATCGATTGTTATTATGAAGAAAAACATTATGATCAAAATGTACCAAACAATTAATTGCATTCAATGACGTAAATAAAAAACATTTTGATTCCACTGCAAACTATAATAATATAAACCAATTTCATAAATATTATACAATTAAATAAAAAACATTTTTTATTCAATTAAAAATGTCAAATTATTTTAAGTATAAAATATAATGAATTAACCAAACCAATTTTAATCAAATGAAAAGACACCTTGTCTACCCTAATTACATTAAAATTACTCATAAACATTAAACTCAAATATACAATATATCAATTGCAGATTTATCACGCATTTTAAGAAAAAGAAATTCATTGAATGCAGTTAAATAATTTAGCATTGCAAGGTCAAATCAAATATGCAGTACATCCATTAAAAAACACATATGAAAAAAACACAAAATTAAAAAAACAATAATTATAATTGAAATACATTTTAATGTTAATTATTTCAGTCCAAAATAATTGATAGCATGAGGGGGAAATTTAGGGAGCCAGCTCTTACATGGGATCTCATGACATTTAGCGCTTAGCCACGTTTGGGGAGAATTTAAAAGAAAAAAAAAGTTTACTTGCTGTAGGTGGTCCAGGTTGACGCGTTTGCCGTGGCGCTTGATGCTTCTGTCCTTTCGGCCGAGGTAGTACATCTGCCCACCTCTCACCTCCACCCGGTCACCCGTAGCCCTCATGGTCCCGGGCACCGCCGAGTCCTCGTGATCCAGAAGGCACACCCTCTCATCACCGCCTGCCTCCACCAAACAGCGAGCATTACCACCCACCCGTTTCAGGGGGCTGTCTGAACTTTTCCCCACAGAGCGCCGCGTACACAAACACGGACGTTCATTTAATTGAAGTCTTGACCCCCCTTGATTAGTTTGACCACGCTTTGATGGACATATCTCACCTATGAACACCTCTCCTTCGCCTTCCGTCACCACGCCGCCATCTTGGTCCCTGACTTCCACTCTGGTGCCCGTCAGAGGGCTTCCCAGAGGCACGGCGAAGGAGGCGGAGCCGTCGGGCTGCCGGAAGACCGAGGGCGGGATCTGGTAGCAGGTGGCCCAGCAGGATACCTCGGTGACGCCGTAAACGTTGAACACGGCTGTGGCGTTGTCCTCGTGGCGCCAGGCATTCAGCATGGATACCGACGGGCACGCCTCGCCGCCCAGGGCGAGCACGCGCAACGACGAGCCACGCGACAGCACTTCCTGTCGGAGGAGGCGCGGACCGAAGCGAGACAGCAGCGTGGGGGTGACCTGCGGAAGGGAAACGCATGAGAGTGAAACTCTTTTTCTTCCTCTATCTAAGACAGCAGTCTGAATGGGAATCACAAAAAAATGTGTATGTGTGTTTGGAGGTGAGAAAAACAAGCTGCATTTGAAGGCAACAGTCCGAATGGGAATGACCTGCATGAGCGTCGTTTTGTGACGGCGGAAGAGAAGCTGGCACAGCCGCTTGGGAATTTTCTTGAGCACGGCCGGAACGACGAGGAGCCGCGCCCCGGACGACAAGGCCAGAAAAAGGTCCACCACTGACGGGTCAAAGGTCAGCGGCGACGCCAGGAAGACCACGTCGCCACAACTCACCGAAAACAAATGCCTGACAAAACCAAACCAAAATAAATTAGATCATATATATATATATATATATATATATATATATATATATATAATATAATATAAATACATTGTACTCTTCTTTTACATTTGTATGTTTACATAAATTAAACTGAACATTAATTTTTAAAAACTTGGGTTTTGCCAAAATAAAATTCTGAAACCCGATTAGTCGGGCCCTAACTTTAAAAACATGTTTTTTTCCTGACCTCAAGTGCAGGATGTTGGGAAGTATGCAGTTGTGCGGCACCCGTACAATCTTGGGCAGGCCTGTTGTACCAGATGTGTGCAGCACATACGCCAAACCTTCTACTCGTTCGGGGAAGGATGGCAGCTTTTCAATTTTTTGCACGTCCTGCTTGGCGTCCGTCAGCGGCTCAACCCGAATCAGTGTGAGTTTGAACTTCGGCAACAGCGCACATACTTCCACGCTCATGTGCTGGGTGAGGACCGCCTGGAACCTCTTCACAGGAAAGGAAAAGAAGTCTTGATTATTTTTGGGGGAAAAAAACGAACAAACAAACAAATAAACCATGATGCTGTACAGCTGTATGTTGACCTATGTGTTTAATTTGTTCCGTGACCAAGCTCTTATACAGCAGAACTTTGAATCAATAACAATAGATCAACTAAAAAATTTCAAATGAGAAAAAATGAGTGAACCTGGAGGAGGTCGCTCTTCACAGCACAGAACCTGAGGCGACAATTGATCATGACCCGGGCGGAGACAAGTCCTGGAGCACCTGGATCAAGTGGCACATAGGCAGCGGGTGTCTGCAGGATCCTGCTCTCGAAAAAAAGTAAGAAATGAACATTGCACTCCTTATACACACACATTTGTAATGTGAGAGGGCATGTTTCGTGATCTCACCCAAGGATCCACACTGGTATGAAGAGATCGTCGCTACAGTATAGTCCTATGACTCCGTTATTGTTCCCGCAGTGTTGCTGCAGAAGGCGGCAGAGTTCACTGGAAAGCTCTCCAAGGTCCCTGTAGAGCAGTGAGACCGGACTGCTCGACGAGGACCCGCCGTCAAATGTCACCGCCACCCGCTGGGAGTGAACCGAGGCGGCGGTGGCTACGAGTCCCTGAAGCGTTCCGCTGGACTCCATGCTACCACGCCTCACAAGTTATAACTTATGAAATACATTTTCATATAGTTCAACACCGAACGCGGTTTCGTGAATCAAGATCGTTTTTTTTTTTTTTTGGTCCACCGCCACAGCCATAACATTGTCGCGTGATGATGACGTAACCACGACGCTTAGAAGTTGCTGCGTTCAATTGCTTGTCAATGTCACAGATATAACTCCAATAACTACACTCATAAAACGTCCTTTGAATTTTATTTTTGGAAATTGAAAAAATGATTAATAAACACAAAATCTCGTGGTGAAACATGTGTGTACTGTGATTCAGCTTCTTTTTTTAAGTGTTCTAATTTCCTGGATAGTTTGAACGCACCCAGAGATCCTCTCGTCCAATCACCGTTCGCCCACTGGTAACGGCCAAGTTTTGAACTCGGGGCAGTTTCTGCAGTTTCTTTTCTTCTTTATTTTGTCTTCATCAGTGTTCGGCTCTCTTCCGATTCGTTGTAATGGACGAAAAACTGAAGCATCAACTCGCCATAAACGGCCTGAAATACAAACGATCACTGCGTCGGATTATACAAAAGGTGCGTGTTTGATGATGAGACGTCATATATCGTTTGCTCGAGTTACAAAATTAGCTCATTCGACTTGTCACGTCAAATTCCAAACTTCTTCAATCAATATTTTTATTTCTCCCGCACAAAACAGTACTCCAACCTGCCTTATCAAGACATGGCGATAGAAGTGGACCTCGATAACACCAGTACAGAAGGTAAAATGTTGTTTGTTCTTCATGTTGATATTGTTCATGTCAAGTCTCTTGATGAGCATGCTTTGACTTGGTTTTGTCTTTTTTTTTTTTTTTTTTAGCTCTGATGCTCTACATGACGCTGTCTAAAAAGCAGATAAAGGCAATGGAGTCAGAGGTGCATAAAGTAGAATCATTTTTTCCTGCTAACCCATCAGTTGACCTTAAAAATACTTCTCATTTGAAATTTGGGACATTTGACTTTCGGGTCTATTTTTCTTGATGAACCGAAAATGCACTTTAATCATCCAACACTTTTTACACAGTCTGGTGGTCTTGAGGCAAAATTCACAACACATATTTGATCCATGAATGGACCAATGAATTTCCTGCTTCTTTTAGGATTGGTATTATAACCAGTCCTTCTCATCAAGCTGTTTAATAACTAAAGCTGAATCTCTCCTCAGAGCCTGTTGGATTCAAGGGGGGACCTATTACAGCGTAAGTGTCCAAAAGTGTCCATTCCATATGACGTAACATTTGTAGACGTGGTGTCATCATTAATACCACTGTACTTTTTTTGCCCACCACCACAGTGCACAATTCTTCCAGTACTTCACAGGTACGTCCAATTTCTTCTTGCCATTGACGGTTTTTCACTAGTCTGCTATGGAAAAAGTGGCTTTAGTCAGTTGGACATCATCCGGAAAAAAATGTTTACATGGTGCAAAGCTGTTTTTTGTCTAAATGAATATATATACAGTATTTTTTTTTTTTTTACTATGTTGAAAAGCTGGACCGAACGCAACAAGATGGTGGACATGATGATGCTGTTTCTTGCCAGATGTCCTCAGATGATGATGATGATGATGATGGTAAGAGCAGAAGTTTATACCTGAAAGAAAGTGACTTGATGGGATGGAGCAGGGGTGTCACACTCATTTTGTCGCGGGCCACATTGTAGTTACGGTTTTCCTTGGAGGGCCGTTATGAATTTTGGGAAACCATATAAATGGTTAATCACCTCCACATATTACATACACAGCACACAACAAATTGATGAATGACTAATTCTAAAATCAGGAATCAAGAATAATGACTGACATTGTGGATTGCATATGACAATTTGAAATTTTGGTTCAGACTTTAGCAAGCATCATGGAACTTGACATGCTTGATTTGCTTTCATGGGCCGCATAAAATGATGTGGCGGGCCAGATCTGGCCCCCGGGCCTTGACTTTGACACCCGTGGGATGGAGGATTCAAGGGCACAAGTGTAAAATTGACTTGTTTGATCACAGGTTTCAAAAAAATAGGCCAGTGGTTGACATCTGGCCAAAAATGAGTTTGACACCCTTGCTTTAAAGGCTTGTACAATGCAAGAAATATTTCCGACTGGAAATTCTGAAACATCCCATTAATCACCTAGGAAATACTTTTAAAAAACCTTCAGTATGTCTCCTTTTAAAGTCTGGTCTTTTTCCTCTTTTTTTTTTTTTTTTTTGACCCCACTGCAGGAGTGTCAAACGTGCATTCCCACCAGAGCTCGCTCAACGGCAGACAAAGCGACTTCCCAGAGACTGATGTCCTCCCTGAGGACCAGGACGAGGAGCTGGAGTTGAGCCTGAGAAGTCAAGGCAGCACTTTGTCCGAGCTCTACCCCAGCATGATCGATCGAATTGGACGGGCGCAGCACCGCTGGCACATTTCCAAGACGGCCAACGGTGTGCTCCGGAAGTACTGCAAGTGGCGACGACAGTCCGGCAGAGGCAGCCACGTCAACAGCGTCGTCACGAGCAACAGACAAACATCGCGGAAGAAAAAGACAACGAATCCAGGATCTGCTTTTACCAGCCAACAATACTCCCCTTCGAGGGAGCAAAGCGTTCTGGCCATGGACCTGTCCGCTTCCCCGGAATCTCCTAAATTGAAATGGATTGAACTGAACGAGACCTTCACTGTGGGAGAACAACCATCAACCCCCAGAAGGTTTTCTGTCTCCGCTACCGGACGGACGCCATCTGTGTGCGTTCTCAGTCCTTCCCTATTTCCTCAGTCCTCGTCTGAGGCATCCTTGGACATGTTGCTAAGATCCAGAAGGCTGATGGGAGAGCAGCCGTCCTCGTGCTTCCTCAGTCCTTCGCAGTCTTCTGGTGCCTCTTCGGGAGTGTCTTTGGACCCGCCCTTAGGCTCCAGGAAGCTTTTTTTCCCTGTTGCGAGAGATCAGCGGTCTTCAGGCACGCCTAGTCCTCCACGGTCTTCCGATCACTCCACGGGAAAGTCCTTTGACCTTTCCTTAGATTCCGAGAGGCTCTCTTGCGCTGCTGCTAAAGAGCAGCCATCCTTGTGGCTCTTCAGTCCTTCACGGTCGTCTGATCCCACCTTGGACCAGTCCCTGAGGTCCAAAAGGCTTTGTAGTGCTGCTACCGGAGAGGTGCCGTCTTCGTTGGTCCTCAGTCCTTCAAAGTCTTCCAGTCCTTCCCCAGACCAGTCCCTGCTGAGATCGAAAAGGATTTTTACCGCTGCTGCCGTAGAGCAGCCAGTGTCGTGGGTTCTCAGTCCTTCACGGTCTTCTGGTCCCAACTCGGACCAATCCCTGAGGTCCAAAAGGCTTTGTAGTGCTGCTACCGGAGAGGTGCCGTCTTCGTTGGTCCTCAGTCCTTCAAAGTCTTCCAGTCCCTCTTCAGGCCAGACCCTCAGAGCTAAAAGGCTTTTTAACGCCGCTACCAGAGAGCAGCCATCCTCGTGGGTTCTCAGTCCTTCGCGGCCTCCTGGTCGTCCCACCTCAGACCTGTCCCTGAGGTCTAAAAGGTTCGCCCTTGCTTCTGCCCAAGAACAGCATCAAACATCATCGTGGGTCCTCAGTCCATCGCGGTCTGTCGGTCTTTCCTCGGACCTTTCACTGCGATCTAAAAGGCTCGCAACGTCCGCTGCCGATGAGCAGCAGCAGCTGTCCTCGGAGGTCCCAAGTTCATTACAGTCGTCCGGTCCCTCTTCTGACTTGTCTCATAGTTCCAAAAGTCTTTTCTTCTCTGCAGGCGTTGCTTCCGAAAGCACCGAATTTAAAGAGCGACCTGACATTTATGGTTCTCCTGTCAGGCAGAGTCCCTTAAAAGCGGGGATGGTGAACTGGGAAGGCCTTCGAAGATCTGATCGGTCCTTCTCCAGAAGCCCCAACTCTGCTCATGTCCTCGGTTACTCCAGGCCCTCCGCTTCCCCACTACGAAAGCTACTTAGGGACCCAAAGTCCCGCTCGGGCTCCCCTCCACGGGCCCGCAATAACCTTTGCCGGCATTTCTCCTTTGACTTCTCCTCGACAACGGAATGCACCACATACTCCAAAAAAGACCTGGAGGACAATTACGAAAAGCACTACCACAAGTTCATGTGTCAGAGCAAACCCTCCAACGGGCTCCCCGGCCGAATGTGCGTTGGCTGCGACAAGGCCTGCCGTGATCATTCGTCCCAAACACTGGTGGCGCTGGCTTTGTCACCGCACCGCTTCGAGCTGAGGAAGCGTCACCGGGAGTTGGACCGGGAGAACTTGTCCCACTCCAAGCGCTGGAGCCCCTACTCTCCGGGGTCTAATCGGCACACAAACAAGATGCTGAGACGCCGCCTCTGTCTGCCTGACGCCGAGGTTTCCCGGCGCGATGACTTCAAGCAAAGTGAGTTTCGAGGTTACAGCGGTCGGCCACTGCTGCAGGACTCCATTCGAGGCCGTGGTTTGCCGGAGGAATGCTTTCTTGGTAAATATCCTTGAAACAAAAATGCGGTCGGACGGCTGGGTTCAGTTTTTCATGTTTTCGTCACTGATTGGTTCTTGTCTTTATTGCTATTCAACAGGAAGTCCAGGAGAGGAAAATGAAGTCACAAGTTACTAAGGTAACTGAACTGTGTGTTTAAAGGGGAGGGTGGCGATACTGGCTTGAGTGTAAATGTCTTAAATGTCCAGTTCGGCCTTCGACAAAGCAGTTTTTGCGTTTTTGGGGTACCCCTGCAGCAAACTTTTGCTCCTCCTCCCTGACATGAACAGAAAACGAAGACTGTCTCCTGCGAGGACTCTTATCAGAATAGAAGCTGTGGTTACCCGCCGTCTGTTTAAAGGTGTTTTAATTCGAGTTGCATTTAACATAAAAATATTCTGTATGTCTATTGCCTGTATTTTCACATGTTTGTCAAGTTAGTTCCAATAAAAATGACTAAAAAAGGCTACTTTTGGAGCTTCCTGGTGAATTCAGTCAATGTTTATTTTGAAGCGTCAGAAAACTGCATGTTAACACCGCGTATTCAGGACCACCACGACACTGTACACAGTCGCTCGCTTTTAGTACAAAACTCAAGTGTTCTTATAAAAAAAAAAAAAGCTAAATCTTTGGTCGGTGGTTTGTGCGTATGTATATATATTTTTTAATGGAACAAATATGGTCATATAAAATTGGGCGAACTAAAGTGTTCTAATTGTATATTTACATAACAACAGACTCATCAACTACGAGAGTTCAGCCGAGTCACTCCGCTGCTGTAAAATGTAAAGTTTTGACTGTTAGATGTAACATGGCTCGCCAGTTCACCACTCCAGTTCCACTGGGTACTTTCCAGTCAGACATGCGGTGCAGTGGCCCACGCTGCCGCCTGCCTTGTAAGTGGAGTCGATCATTTTGTCGCCCTGCATGGAGGCGATCCCTTTTTGGACCGCCGTCACCAGTCCTTCTACCGTCAGGTACTGCACGCTGTCGGCACCTTGAACGCAACACATTCAACGCGCAATATGGTCATCGGATGTCAAACGCTAAGTGGGCTGAGCGGCGCTTACCGATGTATCCGGCGATGTCCTGGAACTCCGGCTTGTTGGCGATGAGTTCCTCTTTCGTGGGAATGTTGATGCCCATGTAACATGGGAACTTGATGGGAGGAGAAGCCACTCTGATGTGGACCTGTCACAGAGGAGTGCGGCTCAATGCACCGGGATCGCAGCTAAAATTTAACGGACTAATGGGGGCGAAGGGTCCGATTGACAATTTACATCGGGTTTCCCCGCCCCGCCCCCATTGCCTAAAATCATCCAATGGAATGAGGCCTGCTGTAGTCTCCTGTAAGTTATTTATCTATGACAAGAACAGCATAGGACGTAAACACGTGACCAGTCGTCGCTCTGTTGATGGCACAACAGCGCTTTTTGCAGGTGTTGTGGCCAATTCTGGAATTACCAAAGATACTGTACGAAGGGCGGGTTTGAGTAGACTTTCTGTTCATTGAATCTGGGGTACGTTAAAACGAGTTTCCACTGCATATATGTGGGTATTGCTGTTGTCTGTATACATGTGTTGCGACACCTATTGTATCCAAATTTCCATTGCTGACACTGCCATTGTTGAAGCGATGCATTTGTGTGGTGTTAAACTAGTGGAAATTCACCCAAACGCAAAATTGTGTGGTTGATTTAAATACACAATGTGTATTTATTTTTGTTTTATGTTTAGTTTGACAGTAAACTAATAATCTCACAATGTGCCAAACTGCTGCTTGTTTAAAGGTCAGTTGAGTTTGCTGCCACTGCCTAGCACTCGTGTCTTTAATTTTTGCTTGCAGGTTAGAGCAGAAATACAACAAAAAAATCTGCAGAACTATTTTGCATATCGAAAAGTCATAAGTTGGGTCACTCATAAGTCAGGGTTGACAACCGAGATAGAATTTTATGGTCATTGGGTAGTAATGAGGAACGAAGAGTCGAACAAACCTCTGTGGCGCCCGCCTCCTTCAGTAGTTTAATGATGGGCGAGATGGTGTTGCCCCTGACGATGGAGTCGTCAACCAACACGACCCGCTTGCCCGCAAAGTTGTCCGTCAGGGCGCCAAACTTTTTGGCAACGCCCAGCTGCCTCAGGCGGGTGTTGGGCTGGATGAAGGTTCTCCCCACGTAGCGGTTCTTGCACAAAACTTCGATGTAAGGGAGGCCAGACTGAGGTGGGGGGGAAAGCTGAGTTTAGAATTGAGGAGAGGACAATCTGGGGGTTTGCTTGGAGATTTGGATTCTGGCGGACCTGCTGGGCGTAACCCAGCGCAGCGGGCGTAGCCGACTCCGGTACGGTGCTGACCACGTCTGCGTCCGTCGGCGCCTCGATGGCCAGTTGTCGGCCGCAACGCTGTCTGACGGTATAGACCATCTGCCCTGTTGCATAAACAGTGTCTGCTTACATGCCATCCCACCGGGAACTGACGGACATTTTAGGACATGTATGCTTTAATACGAGCTAACATTCATGCGGGGTGGGGTGAATCCAAACAGAGAGCGCCATTGACATCAATGGCCGTCAAATTTTTTTTTGTGGCCATGGGCAGAGAAAAGTTTGGTTGGTTTTGTTTACATAGTCATAAAAACACAATAGACCTTGAAAGATCATTCCGAATGCTTTAAATTGGCTGCCACTCAAGAGGTTCTCTTTTTTTTTTTAAATGGCAGCCACTGAAGGAGTTCATCTATCACTGCCCAGTGGCCCACCGATGCTTTTTATTAGCCTGCCCGATGTTTAATGCGTTTCCATTGGCCAAAAGCGGCCACAGTCACGTAAAAAGGTACAAAAGCAGCGCAGTGTACGCACTAACCTTCAAAAATCGAGTCAGGTCTGGCAAAGTAAACATATTCAAATATGCAGAAGGCGGGGAGGTCCCCCTCGCGACGTGGCACCACACTCAAAGACTTCACACCGTGTCGGGATATCTGGACAATCTCCCCCGGGAGGACCTCCCTGTAATACCTGAGGGTCGTGTGAGAGAGAGCGAGAGACGGGGGATCACGGTCGGTCGGAAGAGGGAATACGTTCAACATTTCAATCGGTGTCGACGAAAGACGTACTTGGCGCCGATGGACTGGAAGCTGCAGGACTCCGAGGACACGACCCAGCCCTCGGTGTCCGAGTCCCCGCCACCTGAGAGCCAAGAGAGCCAATCAAGAGCATGATGAAAAGACAACGAATGGAGAACTAGAAAAGTCCATTGGGGAGATCTCGCTCATCCGGGTCATGGCATCAACTGAAAAGTTCTCAACTAAATTGAGCCCGTCCTTTCATCTTTCACGTTTTCAGGCACAGCGGTCACTCCAGTGGACAGCTTATCATGTGATCCGGTTACAGTTTATCATTATTGGTACATGAAAGGGTTAATGCAGGCAATATTATACTAACAGTAACGACTGAATATTCTCAGTGTCATTTTGTAACGGAAGCCAGAACAATCGAGACACGGCAATGGAGCAGCATAACCTAATTTAAACCAGGGGTGTCAAACTCATTTTTGTCACGGGCCACATAATAATTACCGTTTTCCTTGGAGGGCCGTTATGACTGACACTACAGAAAGAAGTCAAGAATAATATTTTGTTCAATAATTGTTTAAGTAACTGTAATGAGTGGTTTGGAAACAAAAAAATACAATATGTCACTGATTTGTTACATATGAAAATTTGAAATGTTGGCACAGATTTTATCTTTGATTTGCTTTCGCGGGCCACTTAAAATGATGTGATGGACCACATCTGGCCCCCGGGCCTTGAGTTTGACACCTGAGCTCTAAACTAATTGCCAGGCAATTGCAGTCAGTATTTTTTTTTCTTCTTTGAGATTGTCTTCTTTTTAACAAAGTGCAACATCGATAGGTTGTCTTCTTCGAAAAGTGAAACGTCGATCATTTGTCCCTTTAAGATTCAACATCGATAGATTGTCTTTTTTTTTAAGAAACAAATGTGACAATTTGCATTATTATTAATATATTTTTTTTTAAACAACATTTGCTCTCGCTTCAACTTGACTACCTGATTTGTGAAGTTTGGAGACGGGAACGACGCGCCCGATGCACAGGGGTCTGTTCCCGTAAGGGTCCCGCACGGCGTAAATGACGTCTTTGAACATCACCAACAGCGAGTACGACGTCGGCGTCTCCGTCATCAGATTCGTAATCCTACAAAGCGATTGGAAGACTTCAATTTCATCGCCAGGGGGGCGCGGGGGCGAATTTCAGCGCGTCGTCAGATGAGGACACAAACCTGGCGACCCAGTTGGGCGCGTCCAGCTCCTCCGTGGGCGGCGTAAAGGCCAGCAGCTGGGTGATGAGCTCGCTGTCCGAGCTGGTGGAGAGGCCGACGCCGTGACGCATCACCTGCGCGCGGGCACAAACAACTCAGTACAGAGCAAGCCCCGCCCCCTCGCATTCAATTCCGAAGCGCCCTCTCCAACCTTTTTCCGAAGGGCGTGCGCGTTGACCAGCTCCCCGTTGTGCGCCACCGCTATCTGGCCGTGCAGCGTGTCCACCACAAAGGGCTGGCAGTTCTGCAGCTCCGACATGCCGGTGGTGGAATAGCGCGTGTGACAGATGCCCAGGTTGCCGTAGCGCAGCTTGAGGAGCGCCTCGGCGGAGAAAGCAGTGCTGACCAAGCCCATGCCCTGAAAAAGAAATTGCGCGCAAGCCGTCATAGGAGAGCGATTGAATCGCTGGACCCGGGGGACTTGGATGTTAAAATCTGTTGAGATGATTTGTCTTCACCTTGAGGGTCGTGTATGTTGGTGGACTGGCGCCATCACTTGTAACAACCCCTGCACTTTCCTGACCCCTGAGGAGGCACAATCACAGGGGTCAACGAAAATGGAAAATGAAACTTGTGAAGGTACTTGTATCGAGTAACTTGATACCGAGACTAAAAAAACGATACCGCCGTCTACGTTTCGCTTGTAACTGTAATCAAGGCCCTTCTTCTCTTTGCAGGATTCAACATGCATCCAAGTGCGTCATATCTGCAAGGCCTGCAGGCAAACCAGACAGGTTTTGTCGAGCGGGAAGGAAAATCTCAAAAGGGGTCAGGGCGGGAGGAGCTGTTGCCTTGTTGCGGTCGCAGTCTATTTACCAAGCTGCTTCTCAGATTACACTCGGCCCCTCCCGCTCGGTACGTAGCTTAAGCCAGTGGTGAGGCTGCTTTCCTGTGAGGGGGGCGTTGCTTTCGGGTTTAAGCGCCTGGTTGCCTAGGGAACTGAGCAGCAGAGCCAGACGAATTGAGGGTGGGGGGTGGGGAAAGCGTTTCCACGTCAGCTCGAAACAGGCACTAGAAGGGAGGGGGGGGGTGAGCTGGCTCTGGCGTGGGGGAGGGACAAGGCGGCGGCGGCTCAGCACGAGGCTCAGAGCAGAGTCACATTTGAGGAAAGCCTCAGCCAGAAGCGACAATGGAGGAGGTAGGGGCGCATCAGAGAGACGGCTACACCTCCTCAGCACCCGAAGGTAAAACTTCAGAGCGGGAGGGGTGGGCAATTCGTTTTCCAAATGGGCCAAGGGACAAACTGGAATGCTCGCTGAGGGCCACACCAACATGCTAAGCTCAGTTATTGCTCCCAAAAATGATGTCAGGTATATTTAAAGCATGACACTGTATTTGTTTGAATAAACTGCTGTCTGTTGTTACAATTAGGGGGAAAAAAAAACTGTACATCAACACATATATTAAAGTCCCTGCAAGTGAAAATAGTAAATTTGATTTGATAAAAAAAATAAATAAATAATGCAAAAATCAGCAAGTATGAAAAATGAGACTTTAAAATTCAAGCCATTGTTTACACTCTCAAAATCAGTGGGCGTGTCCGCTCAGTGCGCCGAAGCCACACCCCGCTCAGCTGTCAACTGTCAATCAAATCCCACGACGCCTACGGATAATTCGCATGGCTACACAGTCGCATGTCGCAAATACCATGTCGCCAATCACTGGAATACATCACATCGAGTCGCAACGGGGCTCCCGAGCACACGACGCAAGGCGCTAGCCACCAGCTAGCTAATCAGCGCCACCCTCGGTCGGCGTATACGCGAACGGGCTCGTCCGTGGAGTCACATCCTTGCTTGCTGTTGCGTCAGTACCCGAGTCCACGAATGCCGCACTACACTGTGTGCTGTGGGGTGCCATTTTAGCCACGCCCCAAAAACAAATAGGAAAACAAAAAAAACACAAAAATGAGAACAACTGGAATGGTGGACGGCTGACACTACTGAATATTTTTAGGTCGTGATCATTATCGCGATTAGGAAAAAAAAAAAGAAAAAAATTTTTTTTTTTAAATTGTGCAACTAAAATACATTACGGGACACAGAAAGCCATCTCTGATTTAAAACTTGCTGTTGATGGAAATCAGAGAATAGTAATTACAGTTGAGAGGGTGAACTCCTTAGATTTGTACACAAGTTACAAAAATACAAAAGTCAAACAATGGTTCTAAAATGAGAACTTGATTAGTACAGTATAGTTAGTTGTCGATGAGTTTGATTTACCGATTGGCTGTTGATGAAAAGATTACTTTTGTCACCTTTATATGGTGAAAAACAGGTTAGATGTGCAATGCAAAAATAAAAAAACAAAAACAAACAAAAAAAAAACTGTTTTAGAGTGTACCCAACTCAGCCTTCCTACATTGTGCATTTTTTAAAAAAATATTTAGCTCCTTATATATGGCAGAGGTCATGCCCTTCCATATGTTGAAAAACAGAGGTCCAGGTTCAAGGGGGCCTACTTGGGGTGGAGGAAGGCCGCCACTGGACCGACGACGAGGTCCGAGCGCTGCTGTGCGTCTGGGCCGACCGGCGCGTCCGCGAGAGCCTCAAGAGCACGCTACACAACAAGTACATCTTCCAAGAGATCTCCAGCCAGATGCAACGCACCTTCGGCGTGGTGCGCAACTGGAAACAGTGCCGCACCAAATACAAGAACCTCAAGTACGACTACAAGATGGCCAAGAGCACCCACGCGGCCCGCGCCGGCCGCAGCGGCAGCCCGGGCAAGTACATGAAGTTTTTCCACGAGGTGGAGGCCATTCTGCTCGACGCCGGGCCGGAGGAGGTCTCTCTGGGGATGAAGAGCAGGTTGTACGATGGGGAGAAAACGCCAGCAGCTCGCGAAAGTGAGGTCATCGTCAAGATTGATGATTGTATGTACGCCTTTGATCTTTATGTCTGACGTGACTTGAGCGAGCAAACGAGACAGTGATGGTTTTAAGGGCGCGAATTACAGCGAAAGTGAGGTCATCGTCAAGATTGATGATTGTACGTACGCCTTGATCTTTATGTCTGACGTGACTTGAGCGAGCAACCGAGACAGTTTTAAGGGCGCGAATTACGATTGCGATGACAAACACGACGGCATCTGTTCTTGCCTTGGCGGCGTCCGAAGACCGCAAGAGAGGCCGCGCGGAAGCTCACGTTTGGGGCGTGCTCATTTTGGAATTCTCGTGCCGCGCTCATGTGAGCATTGGCGCGATGCCGTTTCGAATGAGTTCACAAGTTTGACGAGCGACCAAAAGCTTATCGTGAGCAAGGACAGCTGACAGACTAAGAAAAAAAAAAAGCGAGTGCTAACTGTGAAGTGCACATTAGCATTTTTTTTTTTTTTTTGTAATTTTACACATGAAAACATAACATTAGACTAATAGCACGCCCCCAAAATGAATACATAAAAATAGGCGCAAATTAGGTCGATTCCGGACGATTTTTCTCCGTTCCTAAAATTAAATACGAATGAAGAAAGTATTGTAAAAGTGTCAAATATTCCGTCTGTAATTCATATCGTTATTAAAAGTGTTAAGGGACCCAAAAATAAATAAATAAAAAGTTATTTTACTCAATGTGTTTTTTTTTTTTAATTAATTGGATGGTTATCAGAATTTTATTTTGCCAAGTATCGGAAATAATATTGGACAAAAAAAAAAAAAAGTCAAATATTCATTGTATTTTCACCCACTGAGGCAGCACTTCAATACGAAGCCAAAGATTTACACTTGTCAATTAGTAATGCGCATTAATCGTATTTTCATTTGTAGATGCAGCACTTCATCAACTGGGCACCAAAGTGCACTTTGTTTAGTTCAACATGTGGAGGCAAAACTCCCATCATCAAGCCACTCAACTCCATTTGTCAATTACCGTCGCACATCTGTGCATGCGGCGCACGCAGCGGGCACACAAAACACAAACCCGCTAAATTTTTGTCTTGACACGTCTGGCCGTCACTAGAAAATGGCGGCTTTTCGCTCAGCCTAGCTACCAAGTCACAGACAGAGAAACTCGGCTTGTATGCTGTAAATTCGCCACATTTTGACCTCACAATTCATGAAAATTCCAAAACAGAAGTTTCTTGACCATCCGTGTCCCGTCCGTAATCTCGAATCGTGTGCGGGAATTCGTTAAGCCTTGTAATGATTCAATGTAACTTGAAAAATTAGCACGTACGATTAAATGTCGTTTCCTGTGCCGTCAGATGACAACAGCGACCATTACGACGCGGACAGCGACATGGATTCCAAATGGAGAGGACGAGGTAAAAACGGCCGACGATCGATGCCAATCGGGGTTCCCTTTCGTTAATTCCCTTCCGGGTGTCGATTCAAACAGCGGCCGAGCCGTCGGACGCCGACCAGCTACACGTGGTCACCGCGT